GTACATCTCCACATGCATGGGCCCTCCTCCTGGAGGAGGCTTCATCTGTGCTCTGCTGCCCCTAGGCCGCTGCTCCCCCTCTTCTTTTTGCAGGTCCTTCTGCGGTGCTGGTTCATCCGGATTCGGGTGTTTCTACGCCTCCTGCCATGTCATTCAAAGTCTGTGACAGTGACAGTCATAGTTATGTTTGTATTCCTTGATTTGGTTTGTATTCCTTGTTTGTCTGCAGAGCTTTCTCTGTTTTTGCTTTTGTGAAGTTATAGAGAGACTCAGATTTAGACTACATGTCTCATTCCACAGGAACTCAGGATTCCTAAGAAAGTTTAACTTCAAACAGGCCTTCTAGAGAAAAAAAGGCAAGCCTAGGTATGTCTCTGGCCTCTCTACACGGAAAGGATCTAGGGGATAAAGGAACAGTACCACATGAAACACTGCAGAGGGCTCTGTAGGCTTGTCCCAGGTAAAACAAGGTTGCTTACCTGAGTAAGGTTCCACTGTAGCTGCTGAGCTGGCTGAACCCCATACATAGTCTGGGGCATAGCTGCCATGCCTGCCATATAGCCTGCCTGCTGGGTGGTCATCATCCCATTCGGTACACCCATCATTGAAGCCTGCATGCCCCCCATATAGCTTGCAGGCATGGCCATGGGGGCAACCATTCCAGAAGCTCCTGGCTGAGCTACCATGCCGACTGGCGGGGGCATCATGCTGCCCATGATGCTGTTAGGTGGTGTAACCCCAGAGAAGCTGGGGTAAGCTGTGGGATAGGCCATCTGAGCAGGAGCCATGAACATTGCTGCCAAGAAAACACACATATGGGTGTTAAAGAGGAAGAGGCATAGTTAGCCCAAACTTCCTGGTAGAAGTTAAAAACTACTCAACGCAAAAATCTGTTCTACACAGCAGAGCGGTTAGATGGATCTCTACCAGCCTTGCCCTCCCTCTAGTCTAGTCACCTCCCTTTTAGGGGTCAGACCCAAACTGAGTCAGACTCCACAGAGGCGTGACACACCTACAGAAGTAGGGCTCTGATGACAGTGTGTCTATCTTTGTGGCTTCCCTAGCAATGTCACCTTCAAATCTGTTTTATATATGACATCCCTGGTCCCAGAGTTACTGTTCCTTATGACAACAAATAATTTTTTATAAATTAGTATGCAAGGTAACAGTTTCCTGTGGTGTTCATATGTGCTAGCTTTGGATGATTCTCTGACACAGTCTCCTCTCCGTCCCCTCCTGGACCCCACACTGTACCCTCTGCCTCTTGCACTCCCTTTCCCCTTTCATGTCACATGTTCCATTTATCTTCCCATACCCTTCCCTTCAAGCTTCTTTTCTCCTCTCACCCCTAGTTTCCTGGCCTTTCCCCACAATTACTCGAGCATCAATAAACATATATGATAATTAGAAGCTAGAACCTGCACACGAGAGGGAACATGTGGTATGTGTATTTCTGAGCCTGGATGACTTCCCTTAATATATTTTCCAGTTTATCCATTTTCCTGAGAATTTCCTAATTTCTCTTTTCTTCACAGCTGAATAAAATTTGAACACAAATAATAATAAATAAGTAATTTTTGGATCTTTGTCCTCAGTGCCTTTCTCCCTGGCACTCTCCAGGACTCCATGGACTCTACCTTGAGTAGGCATCTGAGGCGTCTGGGATCCGTACAGTGAAAGGATGGAATCCTTTGAGAGCTGTTTCTTGCCTGTTTCTTCTGATTTGCTCCCTGGCTCTGGAAATAGGTTCAGGTTTTCAGGAACGGAACCAGCGCTTCCTGCAGTTGGCATGGAACCTACAACTTTAGGACACAGACTGTGGTGGGAGAATCAAAATGGTCCTCATGGAAGTCTTTGTAAGGACCCCCACATTTCTGCTGCTTCTAGCATGTAAGAATTCAGGGCTCATGAGTCAGGTCTGGTGATCACACTTACAATCTCAGAAGTCAGGAGGCTAAGGCAGGAGGCTTGCTGACAACTGGAGGCTACC